TGTCTGTGGCTTTGAGGTCGAGCAAAGAGCCGGAGCTCGTCCTGCCCTGAGCTTTTAAAATGCCATTGTTTGCAGCTGCGCTTGGCTTCACCCGACCTCCGACCCCCAATGACCTTCCCAAAGACCCGCTCCAGGCGTTTAACTTTAAGAGCAGAAATCTCTCTTTATTTTCGTTTGCCGCACATCTTTTATTATTATTTCACTGCAGTCCATGCTTCATTACGGCCTTCTAATTTATGTGGCTCAAAGTCAATTTTCCATTCGGGCCTCTTTATGCCGCAGTGGGCGGTGGGCGGAGGTCGGTGGGCGTGGCATTTAACCAATCTGTCGACATATGTTACTGGGCCCTTGATTGATGCGCTCCCGATGAGGCGGATGTGGCTGGGATTTCAATAAAGTTTTATGCCATTTCAACGACCGGAGGAAACTTTCGAAACAATAAATCACCGATGACTGCGACGACAACCACGTATCCTCCTGTCTGCTGAACCTGAACTTCTGTTCCGACCCCTTAAAGCCAAAGGCAGTGAAAGCTGGGGGTAAAACGAGAAAGAAATGAAGAAAGTATAAATAGAGAGTTGACTACGCAGACGAATACCCTGGGGAATGGGCGGCTGATATATTTTGAGATGGACTCAAGGACGCCTTTGATGCACGCGCCATGATGGATTAGCCGGTGTCATCACTTTTACGCTCCACAAAGTCTCTAATATTTGTGTTTATTATGCGGATTATACTCGTGTATTTATATGCTCTCGAAAAGTTTCGCCTCGCTTCGTTCATCATTCAATCAATTTACAGGGGTTACAAGTTTTACCTAATTCATTTAGAATAAACTTTTGTGTTTTGTCACCTGTGGCATAAATGTGTGCATAAAACATGTACATGTTTTTCCAACTCCATCATAAAAATCTGTTGAAGAGAAAAAAATAAAAGAATTTAAAGAGGATTTTTAAAATGTTTTTTGTTTAAATAACAAACTTTAGAGCTTAGAGATTAATGTCAAGAATCGTTTTGCTTTAAGGTGCATACTTAAAAAAGATGCATTCTTCAAAAAAGAAAATAATAGAACTTCGAGTTGATATATAACATATTTTTTTGTCTAAATAATAAACTTTAGGGTTTATAGTTTAAAAATCCCCCTTTAAGAATTGCTTTAGAATTCCTACTTAAAGGGCATTTAATATTTCTAAAGATTACACTTTTTGGTTTAGAGATTTATGTCGATGTTTTATCCTCTTTAAAGGGCATTTAATATTTTTCCTTTTTGTATCCTTCCTTTTTTTTCACCGCCATGTGAGAAGACATTTCGGATTTGCTGCCAGCTTATTGCCGTTCATGGTGCAAAGTGGTATGCTGAGGCTCCCGAATTGAGACACTCAGAGACCCGTACACACATTAAGTTTCGCCCCAGGACCTACGCACACACACACACTCACACTTACACTCATCCTTGGAATTAACACCATAAATTTTGCAGCCTAAACTATGCCTGGCATGCTGCCTTTGCCATTGACTTCCAGGGGAAAGAAAAGCGAGAAAGTGGGCAGCCAAGTTGTTTTTCCCCATTTTGTTGCTTGTTTCTTGTTTCTGTCGCCCTTGGTCCTGGTTTGTTTGTTCTTTCCTCTCTGGGAAAATGGGCTAGGGGAAATGCGAGGAAAAGTGCTTCTTCGGCTCGGAGCAGTTGAAAGTGGTTTTTGGCCGCCCGACCGCATTTATATAGCGCAAAGTTGCACCCGCAGCAGATTTCAAGTTTTTATCTGAGCCTGACAATGATGCTGAACCGACTTTAGTTACACAGTTGAAGCCACAGACATTTCGGCCAAGTGGCTTAGTTGTTCGGGGCCGAGACTGAGCTGCTTTTAATTTATATGGCCAAAAAGGTTGACACGCAGACAACAAAATGGAGAAGAGTTCCTGACTCTCGCCAGTGTACAAAGTACAAAAAGGAGCCATAAATTTTCGTACTTAATCAGCGGGCGGTGGCTCTTCATGTGGATGATGAGGAGTGTGGAGCCCTTCGAGTGGCTGTGGCGTATACGAAATGTGGACAACGGGGCGTATGAACGTATTTTTCTGCGCTTACTAACAAACGATTTGTCCTGGACCTAAAGGTAATCATGAGGTGACTGACAAAGGATCAGTGATACAGTGGAAAGAAATTAGGAGCTTACAAAAATAGTTTAATTATTTTCCCGCTTTTTTATAAAAAGTTTTTAAAGTTGTAAAAATAGTTTAAAACTTTCATAACAAAAAATAAAGATTTAGAAAATCTTTTCAAACTTTAAAATTAATTGAGATAAATAACCCGCCTTTTTATGTTCCAACTTTATTACTTTAGCCATAAATGTCTTATTTTATATCTTTAATACTTTAATTTTACAACAGTTTGCAATGTTTTCATAGTTATACATACATCTTTGGAATTGTAATGGTAAAAAATGTTTATGAGTTTGAAAACAGAGTTCTAAAATTAAAAAAAAAATTACATTTATATTTTATTCCTCATATGTATTCATTTCTATGATTTTATTTTTCTCTGTAAAGCGAGAGATGAGAAATGTTTTAGCAAGGGCAACTGGAGAACAATTAACTGTCAGCGCTTGTTCCCAATAATGCAAACTAATTTCAATGTCGCCCAAGGAGCGAACAAAAGGGCGTTGCATCCACATGGCAGACGACCCAACCGAATGCAACCCTGAACAAGGAACAATGTACCGAGTACGCATATAATTTTTCATTGAGCTGAGGATATAATCCCCGAGTTGGGAGCAAATGGAAAACGGAAAACAGAAGCTGCAGCCGAACAATGGCCCTTGGAATCCGCTTGGCATCCAACGGATGATGCGTCCGTATCTCTTGGCCATTAATGCTGATTATACGCTAATGTCAGAGGGCTAGGACTCGGTTTTGAACCCACTGAACGGTAGTGGATTGAATGGAGGAGGAGCTGCTGCTGCAGCCACAATGCAATTTAGCTGCTTTGAGTGGCAAAAAGTTCGCTGTTCGCCATTCGCAAATCGCTGGGGCAGGTGGCTGCGCCTTTCCCGGGGGATAATTATAATGCCATTAGCATGTTTAGTCCACAATCAGATTTGGTCGCGTTTTTGCCCCTTAGGAGTCCGCCCAAATTGGCTGCGGCCGCGGTAATCCTGCGAAGCCATCGTCCTTCTCGTCCTTCTCGTTTCCATGCAAATCCAAATAGAAACTTAAATGTTTATTTACGCAGCCAAGGCAGCCGAGTGGCTGGGCGTGTCCCCTCTAAACTATTTTGTCGCATTTTGCATATTGCAAATAGCCAAAGGACACCCTCGGTTAACCCATGCTGGCCCCCCGGTCCTTTTGGGCAAAGCAATTTCAACTTTCCATTCGGCGGGGGGAGGGCAAAGCAGCCATTTCTTTTTTCCGGCTTTATCCCCACATGAATTCCTAAAGCGGATTTCATTACTGAGCGGAGGATCTCTGAATGCTGTTCTAATTTAAGCGACAGTCAGCAGAAAATTCTGTCGGAAGGGAAAGTGCGGGTGGTTCGGAATAAGTTAAAAATTCCCTGGAACAGATGACTCATGTGTCATGCACGCCGTAAATTTCGAGAGAAGTTTCTCTGAATTTTGTATTAGATTTATGTCACTTCTTGTGAAAAACTTTAGTAGAATAGCATTTTTCAAGTTTTTAACACCGATTTTTCTTGATGTTAAGATTCAAGTACACAGAAAGCAGTCTTAAAGTCTTAAATTAAGAACATTTATTCATGGAAACATTCAGACCAAAACGATTTGTCTTTGATTATCACCCAAGAAAAATCAGGGTTTATATAAGAACCTTTTTAGTCTGAATAAATTTTTTAAATATTTTTTAAGTATTTAAAAAAATCAAAAACAAAACGCAGTTTTATTAAAAATTATATTCTTAAATTGGTTGTTTTCCCCTCAATTTGTAAACTATTATATCCTTTTTTTCCCAAAGAAATAAATATTATGTGCTCCCAATTTGGCAACCCATTTATTTCTAATTTATAGTTGCTGCTTCTTTCTTTTTCTCTAAAATATCCTCTTAAGCTTATTAATTAAATGTCCGAAACTCAGCTTGAAAAGACTGTTTATCCTTATCCACTTCCACCTTGAAAATGTTTATTTAAGTGGACTCTGTCGGAAACTTGCTTGAAATTGAAAATTGAGTTTGCCAAAACAATTCCTCACTTCAGCTGCTTCCATTTGCGTTTCCATTTAATTTGGCCTGCACTTCTTGGCTGCAATGGCTGAAACCGGCTGAGTCATGCGGCATTTCTAGCCGGCTTCCAATTGTTCGACTTCCTTCTTCGCCTTTTGGCTTTCCAACACGCGCCGGGGCGTTTCCTTTCTGGCCATTTCAGCCAGTTTGTGCCATTTTGGCCATTTCCCCGCCTGTTGGCAGTGACACAAATCGCTGAATACCTTCTAAAGGAGTGCGACCTTTGTCTGAACTTCAAGGATCCCTATTTATTCGAACCGGAGCCAAGAATAAATGTTGGCAGACAGGAAGGAGTGCGGCTGAGGCAACGGCAACTTATTTTCGTTTGCCAACGCATTGAAGTCTTCCACTCGATTTGCAGTCCAACTTGGGTCGTTGGCGAAAGGCAAAACCAAAAACCGGTGGAAAGTTGCTCCAGTTCCACCAGTTCCTCCCGTAAGCTGTTTACCCTAACGCATCACTAAGCTCGCGCTGCACAAAAATAAATGCTCACAAACTTGCAGGTGAACTTCGCGTCTTTCCCCTCTTCCTGGTTTAAAATTAGCAGGCGACAAACTGTTGATTCTACAAGGGAAAATATATATAAGTATATTTATCGAGCGACCCTATCATGTCAGCCTTTCACACAAAAGCCTAACCAGATCCCGGGGCCATGGACCCATTCAACTTTACGCTAATGTCACATGCTTTGATTACTGCGCCGTGAAATTTTATTGATTGGCCCAGGCAGCGTTGGAAACCGAAACCAGTCGGGTCTTGAGTCGACAAACCCATCCCGACCCACCTCCCCATTAACATTAACATCCATATCCATATCCCACATCCACATCTCCAGTTTCACATCCCACGTTCTCGGTACCTGGCAAACCATCAGATTGAATGCACTCGCTGAGGCGAGCAATCCGAAGATGCTTCGAAAGTGCAGCTGATAAGTGGGCATCTCAAAGGGTTCAGTTTTCCCTTTACTCGATGCTGAAATTTTACTTTGGGTTCAGCGATTTCGAGGACTGCTTTTACACATGACATTTTTGTATCTTTTAAGCTAATTAAAGAGCATTTCCTTTAATAATCTTTTGTGTCTTTTCTATAATAATTAAAAATCACAATAATATTTTAATGTTACAAATTATATTATTTTTTTCATTACAGTTCCTGGTAAGAGCTTAGGTGAAATACTTTTCAATAAACCTCTTTTTTTTAATAAATCAAAGCAATGCAAATTTATATCCTTAACATTGTTAAACTACATATTAAATTTCTCAAAATATTGTTTATCCACCTGGATTGTCACCATCGAAGCCACATTGGTTATATACCTCAACGCCTCTTTTTCTGCCGTAAGTCCAAGCGTTCAATTTCACTTACGATGTCCTTCACACCGGTTGCTTGCTTAAACATCAGCAGTCAACATAATAGCACTACAAAATATAAACAAAATTTTTAATCACTTCCTAAAATTTAAAAATGTTAAAGCTTAAATGAATTTGGTTTTACAAATATCTCTTTAATGTAAGTAAGTTCTGTAACTGGAATTCCTAAAATATATGAGATGTGCACTGAAAACAATTTAAATATTTTAATTACTGTGGTAGAAAGGGTCTAAAATTAATCATTTCTAGATTATCTACAAAATGTTGGATATTTTTTTAGAGGAAATGACATTATTTTGACCACAACTGTTGGCAGTAAGTGTACTGCATATGATTGTTCGAGAGTCTGAGAGTCCGTAGGAGGATATTAACCGTGGCCGGGGGTTCGTTCCGGTCGTGAATTGTATACCGTGTATGTACGTTTGTACACTCATAGAAATTTTTACCCTAAATCGCCCTAAAAAACTGACTTTTCGCCCGTGGATTTAGAAAATCGCCCATAAATCGTATCCGCTGGCGATTCGCCCGTGTATTTAGAAAAATTTTCTAAAAAATCCCGATGGAAATTTGGTTTAATTTAGGGTGATTTTTCTTGAAATAAGAAATATTTTCCTGTTTTTAGGGTAATTTGCCCTAATTTTAAGGTGTATTTTTCTAAAATTAAGGGCGAATTTTCTGTTTTTATAGGCGAATGCCCTAAAAAATTAGACAAGTTAAAAAAAATCGTGTTTGAGCATGCTTAACTGAATTTGGGAAGCATGTTTTTTTTTTTAATCGTCTATATTCTGGGAGCTGGGACTGCTTTAATTAAACAACACCGGCGGAGGACACCGTTGCATATTATTGTATTGGTGTGTAGCTTATATGGTAGCTTAAGAGGGGGGCCCGATCTATACAGCACAGCCGTTAGAACTGAAAAATCATGTTTGTAAATGAATTAGGGAAATAAATATGAGGAGAAAAAACAACTTACTTTTTTTGGTCATTGCGAGAATCGAACCCACGACCTCTCGGTTTAGAGTCTAACGTCCTACCGCTGCACCACAGACCCCTCGCGCAAGACGACGAACAAACTCTGCACACATCTTATTTTCTTGAGGTCTACGTTATAATATGACTAAAGGCAACTAAACCGTATATTTTTTTTCCTGACGACTGTGACAATTAGTCCCGTTTTCTTGCCCGCAAACACAAAGTATGCTTTTAACTCAGAACTCCCATACGTTTTTAAGGTTTAAAGACTACTTTAATTTAAAATTCGGACGAAAAAATGTCCTCAGTATTATAATGTTTACAAAAAAAAAAAAAAAACATAAAAATCAAGTTGAATCACACAGGGTTCGAACCCACAACCCCACGACCTTAGTCCTCATATAGCAAAGTTGAAAGCGCAAGTGATTAGACCGCTGGGCTACCGAATTTCACACTTTTGGAGTGATTTTTAAGGCGAATCGCCCTTGTATTTAGAAAAATTTTAGAAAAAAAATTAGGGCAATTCGCCGTTGGATTTAGAAAAGGTCAAAACGAAGCAAATCGAAAAAAATCGCCCTAAATATTAGAAAAATAGAAAAATTAACCCTAAAAAATATTTTTTTATGGTCACCTGCCTTAAATTTATGGCAAATTTGTCGTAAAAATAGAAAATTTTTCTCAGTTCAAAGGCGAAAAATTTTTTAGGGCGATTTTCTAAAATGTAGAAAATTATTTTTATGAGTGTATAACGTCTGAGAGTGAGAGGCCAGAGTCCGGGAAAAGTGTCCTGCATGGGAGGTAGTTTTTATCTACAGCTCCGCTTGACAGCTGGAGATTTCGCTTTGCCCCCTTCCGCCGCTGATTGCTTACAATGTGCCACGCCCACCTCCTCCTGCCGCCTTCCTTTTTGTATTTTTTACAGAAAAAAATTGCAAAAATCCCTGTTGGAGCAAACGTTGTCGCCGGCTTCGTCATCGCAGCTAAAATTGAATTGGAATTGCTTCAGCTCCACTGGCAGGCAAACGACAGGCAATCTGTTGAGTCGCCTCTGATTGAATGAGGGGGTCGGTTCGGGACCAAGGTCGTCCGGGGAGGTGGGGGAGTGGCAGAGGCGGTGGGTGGCAGCGGGAGAAATGCGGAACGAATGCGCGTAATGCGCTTGGATGGCTGAATCAAATCCCGACTGAGATACGAGTGCGATTTAATGATAACATGTTGTGCGACAAGCCCCATCGTCATTATCTGTCATTTTCGGTAAATTCACAGTAGCTATTGATCCGTGGAGCGTCTTTCGGGGCACAACGGCCTTCTGAAGGCTGTCGAATATAAAGAAATCTATAATATGTGCGTTCATAATTGTATCGAATTCAAAATATGTACCCTAATAATTAGCAGACGAGAGCTAAAAATACAAAACGAAAACAACTATATTACATTTCCTTACAACAGAATTGATTACAGTAAATATTGGTATTAGCAAATGTACATTACCTTTTTTTAGCCAAATTTTATATGTTTAAAATCGTTATCGTTAAAATTATCTTACCCACAAAAAAAATAGATTCTAAAATTCAATGAAAATAACTTAATGTTGAATAATATGATAATTTTGCTCACGATATAGAAATTTTTTAAAATTATTATTAAGTTACCTTATAACCTATACATACTGTAGTTTCATTAGCAACAACACGGCTGTTTAAAAAAAATCAGTAACGGCACAAAACCAAATTGTACCAATTGTGATTATAATTAGCGCAATTACGATAAAAGCGCTGCAAACATTTTTGAACCGTGCGTCGATAAGCAGATTCCAAATAAAGGCAGCAATCGCGATAAAGAGAACATATGTACGCAAAGGTGTTATTCTATGAAAAACCTAGCGAATTCGACTTGTGAGTGGGCGAATCAATTGTGTAAACAAAACAGCACAAAAGATACAAAGATACCGAGGAAATGCTAATTTAACGTTGCGCTCTCTAATTTGAAAGTGCGGTCAAGGCGCTCAGCTGTTTGGCGTTTAACAACACCGTTTTTTTTTCTCAGGGGGTGCAGTTGGTGGGGGTAGAGAGAAGGGTATAAGACTAGGGTTGTCAGGTAAACCGGGTTTCTTAAGAAACTTATTAAATGCTTTTACTGCTTATAAAAAGTTATAAAATTGGAAAAAATGTTATTTAACTTTAGTTTTTAAATAAAACTTTAAAACTAGGATTGTCAGGTAAAAAAAAAATTTTATAAATACAAAAAATATATTTAGAAATAAAAACTATTTTAAAAAAATCATTTAAAATATCATTTTTTAAGTATTTATTTTAGTCAGTCTCGCACCCCACCTGACAACCCTGCTGCTCTCTCGCGCCGCCGCTCTCGCTCTCTTGCGCACACGTCATCAGCTGTGGCCCACTAACAACAAACAGATGTATTTTCGTGTTGTTGCTGGCTGCATTGAGTTTCCCCACAAACTGCAGGCTGAAAAAAGCGAATAAATAAAACAATCGGTGGCAAACATTCCGCGGTAACGCAACAAATAGCAGCCAAGCAGCACGTGCTGCTGCCACTTGTGCCAAAAGTAAAAATAAAACACTGGGGAAAACGGGGCGCCGCATTTGACATTGAACAACATTCGCGGGTGCAAAAATAAATCTAGGAAATAAACCGCACACAAATACAAATATAGCATATAGCGATATCAGCTGTTCGCAAGTGCGTGCGGCGGAAAAAATTCATTATTAATTGTGCCATCGGCAAAGAGAGAGGTGCTTTTCCATTTTCCACATTCCTCCCCCCGCAGCGGCGATTTTTCCGGGCCAGCTAGAACTGGAAATTGCAAGCATATCAAGCATTTATTCAAGTCTTGCGGTTGTGTAATCAAAGAGTCCGGGAAAAATGAGCGCTACGAGTGTCCAGGAGAACCAGCCCAAAAAGGCGGCGGCCGCCTCCAATGCCATCAAGTTTCTCTTCGGCGGTCTCTCGGGAATGGGAGCCACCATGGTGGTGCAGCCTCTGGATTTGGTAAGTTCTAATCTAAATAACTCTGTATCCCAAAAATCTCAACGGAACCCTGTAAATTCCGATTCCCAGGTCAAGACCCGCATGCAAATCTCGGGAGCTGGCAGTGGCAAGAAGGAGTACCGCAGCTCGCTGCACTGCATCCAGACGATAGTGGGCAAGGAGGGACCTTTGGCCCTGTACCAGGGCATTGGAGCCGCTCTGCTGAGGCAGGCCACCTATACCACCGGAAGATTGGGCATGTACACCTACCTGAACGATCTGTTCCGGGAGCGATTCCAGCGCAGTCCCGGTATCACGGACAGCATGGCCATGGGAACCATTGCGGGAGCATGCGGCGCCTTCATAGGAACCCCCGCGGAGGTGGCCCTCGTTCGGATGACCTCCGACGGCCGGCTGCCGGTGGCCGAGCGGAGGAACTACACGAATGTGGCCAATGCCCTGGCCAGGATCACCAAGGAGGAGGGCATCACGGCCCTCTGGAGGGGCAGTCTGCCCACCGTGGGTCGCGCCATGGTGGTCAACATGACCCAACTGGCCAGTTACTCGCAGTTCAAGACGTACTTCCGCAACGGCCCGCTCAAGATGGACGAGGGCATCAAGCTGCACTTCTGCGCCAGCATGTTGAGTGGCCTGCTGACCACCATCACCTCGATGCCGCTGGACATTGCCAAGACCCGAATTCAGAACATGAAGATGGTGGACGGTAAGCCGGAGTACCGCGGCACCGCCGACGTTCTGCTGAGAGTGGCCCGTCAGGAGGGAGTCTTCGCCCTGTGGAAGGGATTCACCCCGTACTACTGCCGTCTGGGTCCGCACACCGTGCTGACCTTCATCCTGCTGGAACAGCTCAACCAGGGCTACAACAAGTACGTCCTGGGCGTGGACAAGAGCACTGGCCTGTAAAATCTGTATCTAAACCATATGAAACGATCAACGATGAACGATGAACCATGCGTGTATATAAAACGTTAAGTTTAAACAAAAACATAGGGCATTTAAATGTCGGCAATTCCGGTGACAATATTACATGATAACGATTAGCTTGAATGTTGAAACAGTTTTTTGTAGCGCCATAAGTGTAAAGTGGATTCTCAATAAAGCACAAAATGTTATAGCAAACCTGTTGGTCTTGACTTCAAATTTGGGGAAGGTTAAGTAATTATAATTTTGGGTAAATAAATAAAGATGTGCTTTACACACAAAAAATTCGATATGAAATAGGGTCAATTCTACCTTATTTCATATCAATAAAAGATATTTGATCATATCATACCATATTTGGTTTTTTTTTTTAAACAAATAATGCAAAATAATACAAACGAAATATGTTTTTATATCAAAACGATCTTTAAAAAATATAAAATTGACTAGCACATGTCAATCTGATCTTTTGTCAATTTTTTGCTGTGTACAACTCTTTAAGTTATCTTAGTTTCATAAGCTCAACAATAAAGTGTAGTATAGCTATATTATTTTTTAAGAAATTATAAGCAGTTTCCCTCGATTATGCTGGTGTTATTTATAGAATGTCACCTGTATATCGCGTGGGTCTGGCTATTCAACCGCTATCTAGTCTTCAAAGTCACTTCGGGTTGCCAACTTCCAAGTTCGTCATGTGAAGTGGGTGGTGGTGGTGTGAGCCCCGCCCATATGTTGTTATTGCAAATTAATTATATTCCGTATGTCTAGGTGGAAGACACCTACTCACATAGCTACTGTTTGCTAATTCCCCCGATAAACCTTATCACTGGCTCATTGCTGTTCCTTGTTTGCCGGTGCAAAGTATAAATCCCAACGATAAACTCCGGGGGCTGAAGATTGCATATTTGTTTTCGCGCCCCCCTCCATCGACAGATTTCGCTTTCATTGATAAGGAAAAAACATGCTGATAACCTGCTGTTCAAGTTGTATTTTAATAAACAGTGAGGCCATAAAGTTAGCGTTCTTTGCTTTTCATTTCGGTTTTGATTGGTGGTACGGCTTTATGACTGCCGATAATTGGATTATTTGGTTTGTTTCATTTGATAAATTCCAGCAGTCGGTCAAAGGAATCCGAAGGCAGACCGCAAAAAAATTAATTTAAATTTGTTTGGCCGCCAACGCTTTTTTGTTGCTGAATTTTTATTTATTACAAACTGGCCATAAAAATCCTCGTGAGAATTTATTTAAAAAGTTTTTTATTATGCCATAAGTTTGTTAACTGGAGCGTTACAGTTTTCGTGTGGCGGAAGTGGGTTTCGGGGGGTGGGGGATTTGAGGGGGTTATAATAAGCGAGAATTACCCCGAAGAAGCCGAGGGCAAGAATCGCATATTAAATTTATTTTATTGGGCTTTAGTAGAGTGGAGGGGGCTCAACTCAGAGCCTCAGGAATAGTATTTTGGGTAATAAAATGTTTTCAGCTTGGCCGGCATTTAACCACTTCTCCATCCACTGCCTTTCCCCTCCAGCTGGTACAACAAATCAAAAGTTTATCTCGTAAATAAATGAGCAAAATCTTACTTGACCACGGGGCCCAGGGTTTGCTTATATTAAAAAAAATTTGCCTGCACTCGCTCACACACAAAAAGCTAAGCTCCATGCTTGGAGATACTTTCTGCCAGAGTTTTCCGACAAACTTTAAGCTGAAGCAGGCTAAAGATTCTAAGGGATATTAGTTATCCTTTGGCTCCAGTACTTTGGGGTAATTAAAGGCAGAAGAGGGCTAAGGGCTGAGCTAAGTAAGTGGCTTCATTAGGGGTAAAAGGAACTTACTTTCGATTTATGCCAGGGCAGTCACGACTTTAAGGATTAAGAAGGGCAGTGATTGCTAAGATACAAATTTTAGATTTATACGTATTTTAAAAAATATAATATTTAATAATTTTTTTTTCAGAATGGTACACAGTAAAAAAAAAACAAAAGATGATATTTATGTGTGCTGGTCAATTATATTTCTTATCTTATATTTTTATAAATTTTATAAAATAACTGATTTCATTTATCAAGTTGATATGATTAAATCATAAAATTGATATTAATAATATTGGCATTTTATTGATAGGAAATAAGGTAGAAAGGACCCTATTTCACATAGAATTTTTTTCTGTGTTAACTAATATTTTTAAAATTAAATGCTTGTTCATCTGTATCAGGTGATCCGTTCTTTAGTAATTCGGCATCCAATAAGCTCAAAACCAATGGTTCCGCAAATGTCAGCGCCTATTTAACATGCAATTTTTAATTAACACTCAAAACATCAGCCTGTCAGCCAGGAAAATAGAGAGCGAGAAACAGGCGAGGTCCGTGTAAATGTAATTAATTCAATGTCCCACACGAACAGCCAAGCCAATTCATTCATAGCCACCGAATCACCCACCTAACCAGCCACCCAACCACCCACTTCCGACCACCCACACATTCAAACGAACTTCAATTAGAGGCCGATACACAGGCCCATCGACGGACTATCTTTGCTTTCGCTTTTGGTCTGTGGAAAATCGCTCCGATTTTCGTGGAATTCTTTACCACGGCCACAGCTGTGACCATTTTTTAATACCCTTCAGTTCCGCAGTTCATGGTATATTCATGCAATATTTACCACGTATAAGGAAATACTTTAACGTGTAATTATGTGATCCTTTAATCAAACAAAAACACCTTTTCATCAGGTAAAGAGCTAGTAGCGATTGCACCTTTAAAGTAGTCTATGTCTGGAAAGTAAAAATCAGAAAGGGTATATATAAATATTAGTTTTAAGAAGGTCTTTCCGTCCCTTATTGTTTGTATGGTGAACATAGTATATATTCAACTCTTCGTCTGTCCGTCTGTCCGTTTCTTTGCAAACTACACTCATAAAAATAATTTTCTACATTTTAGAAAATTGCCCTAAAAAAATTTTCGCCCCTGAACTGAGAAAAATTTTCTATTTTCACGACAATTTTGCCATAAATTCAAGGCAGGTGACCATAAAAAAATATTTTTAGGGTTAATTTTTCTATTTTTCTAATAATTAGGGCGATTTTTTCGATTTGCTTCGATTTGACCTTTTCTAAATCCAACGGCGAATTGCCCTAATTTTTTTTCAAAATCTGTCTAAATACAAGGGCGATTCGCCTTAAAAATCACTCCAAAAGTGTGAAATTCGGTAGCCCAGCGGTCTAATCACTAGCGCTTTCATCTTTGCTATATGAGGACTAAGGTCGTGGGGTTGTGGGTTCGAACCCTGTGTGATTCAACTTGATTTTTATTTATTTTTTTTTTTTGTAAACGTTATAATACTAAGGACATTTTTTCGTCCGAATTTTAAATTAAAGTAGTCTTTAAACCTTAAAAACGTATGGGAGTTCTGAGTTAAAAGCATCTTTGTGTTTGCTGGCAAGAAAACGGGACTAATTGTCACAATCGTCAGGAAAAAATATACGGTTTAGTTGCCTTTAGTCAAAATATAACGTAGACCTCAAGAAAATAAGATGTCTGCAGAGTTTGTTCGTTGTCTTGCGCGATGGGTCTGTGGTGCAGCGGTAGGACGCTAGACTCTAAACCGAGAGGTCGTGGGTTCGATTCTCGCAACGACCAAAAAAAGTAAGTTGTTTTTTCTCCTCATATTTATTTCCCTAATTCGTTTACAAACATGATTTTTCAGTTCTAACGGCTGTGTTGTATAGATCGGGCCCCCCTCTTAACGCAGCTTCCCATATAAGCTACACACCAATACAATAATATGAAACGGTGTCCTCCGACTGTGTTGTTTAATTAAAGCAGCAGTCCCAGAATATAGACGATTAAAAAAAAAACATGCTTCCCAAATTCAGTTAAGCATGCTCAAACACGATTTTTTTAATTTGTCTAATTTTTTAGGGCATTTGCCTATAAAATCAGAAAATTCGCCCTTAATTTTAGAAAAATACACCTTAAAATTAGGGCAAATCACCCTAAAAACAGGAAAATATTTCTTATTTCAAGAAAAATCACCCTAAATTAAACCAAATTTCCATCGGGATTTTTTAGAAAATTTTTCTAAATACACGGGCGAATCGCCAGCGGATACGATTTATGGGCGATTTTCTAAATCCACGGGCGAAAAGTCAGTTTTTTAGGGCGATTTAGGGTAAAAATTTCTATGAGTGTAGTCTCCCATTTTTAAGCTATCGTAATATTAGCAAAAATATAATAAAACCCAAAATGTCTTGCACTCATATAGTATTTAAATTTATTTTAGAGTATTAAGTGGTGCCAGAATCCAATCACATTTCCCACAAATGCTTGTTTTATTTTTCGAAATTTAGACCGATTGATTTTGGTATTAATGCGTTTTCGACCGCCCAAGGGAGCTTCCCCATCGATTCGGATAGCGGATGACTGAAAAGGAGTGGGATTGGCGGTGGAATTGGATTTGGGATCGGGAGGCGCCACGCGGGCATTTGTTCCCGTTTTGGCCTGGCTCTGGCTTTTGGTCTGGTTTGCCGGCCATTTGGCGCTCGTATTGTTTTTCCTCTGCTCTTTAGTTACGCTAATTGCAATACGATGCTGGGTGGAATGGAGCAGATCTCTCGGCCCGGAGCGTCAAACTAATTGCTTTTGCGAAAAGCATTTGAAACGCGCAACTTTTTCAATTTATCTATTTAGCGATGTGCGGCCCGTCCCTCGCCGTTGGCGAATATTTGCAGACAATGTCCCCCACTTGAGTGTTCTGTTACATGGACGCGGATTTATCATAAGCAAGGACAATGCCAATGCACTTTCAGAGGGCTACACTGGGGGAAAGAATAGTAACTACATGTGAGGGATAAATAATTGTTAGTATTATCATCTGTGATTTTATTAAAACTTGTTGGTGTCCATTCAACAAAGCTATGAATTTTTTTGAATAAAAAATATTGTCAAACTTTAAATTATCTTATGAGAATGTTGAAAGAACAATAAATTCTG